GACATGGATGGATGGTTGGATCATGGCTGAATGATGGGTAGATGGTTGGACAGATGTATGGTTGGATGGATGGATGGATGGATGGATGGATGGATGGATGGTTGGAAAGATTGATGGATGGTTGGTTGGATGGATGGTTGGTTAGACGGATGGTTGGTTGGATGGTTGGTAGGATGTTTTAGTTCCTCGGCTCCTTGTTTGTGGTAAAGCGAGGCTCTGATGTCGTCCGGGTTGTTTTCTGTTCGATCGGGAACATCGAGTCGTTTCCATCTACTTTTAATCATGAGGGCTTCGAGCTCATCCAACGTGAGGAACGAGCTCATCCAACGTGAGGAACGAGCTCATCCAACGTGAGGAACGAGCTCATCCAACGTGAGGAACGATTTGAGCTTTTATCTGTTTTTCTAAGACAAACTGAAGAAACAGACTCTGGAATCTGGAGCTGAACTTTAGCTTCTCTTGTTTTTTCATGTGAATATTTACAACTTGGAATGTTCAACTTACAAAAACCTAAACATGAAGGTTTAGCTCATACGAGAAAATTTTATTTTTTTAAGCATAAAAAGTTGACGCCATTGTTTTAATTTTGTTTTCTTCTGTTGTACTTTTTCTTCAGGCATCGGGGAAATACCACAGAATGTATTTTTTAGTATTCTGCTTCCTCCACGTATCACTAATCTATCTTGAAATATATCTATATCTACTAGAAGAACATCAGTATAATATTAGACTAACAAATGTTTTCTTTAAGTGCTTGAAATAAAATATATTCACTCTTATCATTGACAGAGGTTTTGTGTTGAAGTTTACAGTGTGAGTGTTAGCAAAATATCTAATGAAACGTGAATGAACTGATAAAACCTTCAGGACTTGACACTTGGACGAACATCTACCGTCGGGGTTTCTTGACGCAGAAACGCAGAACACCAGGAGCTCGAGGAAAAACTTTATTGACAAAAAACAAACGGCTGATGTGGCAACACCTACAAACATCGCTCGAGGAGAACGTGGAGGAGAACGTGGAGGAGAACCGGGCGTGACGTGAGCTGCACTGATGTGAATAAAAAGGCTGGGACCGATGAGGTGAGTGGCTGCAGCTGAGACTGGAACAGGTGTGAGTGGGCGGAGCAGAGGGTGACCGTGAGAAAAGCACTGGTGGAACAGAACTAAACCTTAACACATTAAAAATAAACTGAAACACTAACAACAAACAAACAACCAAAAGGTAAACAACAACACACAGATCCTTCTACAGCTGATTAATGTTCGGAGTCAACCCAATTCAAGATGGCCGTCAGAGCTAGTCGTCCTTACCAAACAAAAAATGTCTATCGTCGTGGTCGTAGGAGGTTGGAGCCAAGAACGCAGACTGGAGGAGTTTAAGACGATGT